ATTGAATTTTATAAGAAAAAAATGTCATTCATTCACATTTTATAAACATGTAAAATTGAAGATATGAATTTAGAATGTTCCTGATCATGTTATGACATTTTTATTGTTACATATACAAGAGTTACGTACTGGGAAATGACTATTGAAAATAAACTTAAGAGCAATTTTCAGACTAATTTTTTCTTGATATAAATTAATACTTACTCTGAGGCTCGCTATGCCTCAGAGTGTATGTAGAGTCATATGTAGAGTTTTATGATCCTAAGAGATACCGGAAAATATGAAATGTATTTTATTTCTTGTTGGGACAATGATGAGTCTCTATCCTTAATTATACTACTCTTTATTCTAATGTATAACTACATGTAACTATTCTAACATATATCTGGAACACCACAATTCAATTCATAATTTTCTTCTCAAGGGTGTTAGATAGATGACTGGAACGACTCTATTGCTAGCACGAAAAGTATGATGTATAGGGGTAAGACACTACTAATTTGAGATAGAGCTCATATATTTTAAATTGCAGCCCGGCATTGAGACTACGTCACAATAAATATATATATATATATATTTTCCTTTCTGTAATATTTCTTCTATTATAAAATATATAAAGATCTATCATTAAATGTAATCAATTAATTGAATAAATGAACTTCGTCAGTAATCATCATTTTTATGATTAAATATCAATTTTTTATATTTAATCGTAAGTATTATCGATCATTTAAGCATCAAAACAATTTATCAACGTAATGTAAACAGTACTTTTTCTATGAAGGCAGTCCATCTATTTTCTATGAAGGCAGTTCTATTTTTTTAATATTATATAAAAAAGACAATAGACTAATCTATTAATCAAAAATTTTTGTTAAAGAAGTAATTAACTAAAGAAACTTTTTTTGAAATTTTATGTTACAGTAGATTTTTTCGCTCCTATAATCATAGGAATTGTTAAGAAAAATGTTTATAGTATTGCACATAAATAAAAATTACATAACATTCTTTGTTATTTTCATTTTTGTATCTTTACACATGTCAGCACTAACAGGCTCTTTTTACTTTCTCGGCTGTTATATATAACAGAGGGAAAGTATGATGAGCAGACAAGAAAATGACTCCGCAAGATTTTTACACTTTTAGACTTGGGGCCTTGAAACATCGAAGATTGAAAAATAGAAATTAGGGGTTTTTTTAATGCGTGTTTGGAGATTTTGTCACTTAGTTTAAAGGTTAATAACTCCCGTGCTATTTGTCGAAATTTTGCAGGGAGGTTTGTGATTTATAGTATTGATGCTATTAAATTTTGGTTGTTAAAGATCGAGAGAGTGAGGAGATATGGGGAGGATTGTGTGGCATATCTTCAATGTGGTCAGCCTTATTGAAGATTTTACTCGTTATTAGCATTTACAATCTTTTTCTTTTTAATAAAATTCATCTCTGAAAATTAAACGTTTTATCATTTTATAATATTAAAAATATAAAATGTTTTAAAATAAAATATCATAACAGAGTTTTTTAAGAAAATTACGCAACTCGTTGGTAAAATTTTTAAACTTTAATCAGATGTATCGTGAGTTCGGCCAGGCCTTCAGCGGAATCGACAGTAGTAAGAATGAAAAATTAAAAATTCCTGGAGTTTTTCGCCTTCGGATTCGATTTCGGGTATCCCAGAACAGTAGAAAAGAAACGAGGTGATTAAAATATTTATATTTGTAAAAGTTATATATTTCATTTTATAAAGTATATTAACGTTATTTCATTTGCATATTTCGTTCTTATTATAATGCAATTTGTAAAAGTTCTATTAAATTATTATTATTAGAGAGGAATTTTGAAACATATCTAAATCAATTTAAGCTTTTAGTACAGCTTGTTGAATTATTTCTTTACAGTAAAACTTTCTATTTATAGTAGACTCTCCGGCATCCGGCCCTCTCATATAGGACTGATCAAAAATAACAAAATTTCTGAAAATATTGTACATTACCCTAAATCTTACATTTCCATACAGCAGTGTGTACTGTACATTTAATTTTTTTAAAATTAAGAATGCCTTAAAGTTCGTGAAAGAGCGCATGCATCACTCACCCGTAATGCAATAATGATAAGGCTTTGGCATGATGTAGCAGCCCGTCGGTGATTCGAGAAAAACAAAACAAACTACTGCTATGTTACAGTCTTATTTAAAAATAATTACATACCTTATTCGGATTTTTCTAATATCTGATCACTCCAGTCCACATTAGTCTACTGTATTTTAATACCAAGACTTCCATATCTGAACTAATTCTAATGCATCTAACATTTAATGCATTAAAATAAATATAAAATAAATGTCCTTTCATGTAAAAAGAAACTGTATATAATACTTTAGAATTTTCAAAAATGCACTAAGTAGATTTAATAAATTTTTTACAGATACTCCTATTTTTAAATGTTTTGTAAAAGTTCATATTTTATATGAGACACATGCTGTATATTTTAACTATTTAAATAGCAAAGAAAGTTTTTTTTTATCACTAAATCAAATGCAGTGCGTATAAGGAAAATAAAAATTGTATAATTTATGGCAGAACAGTTGAAGAAATATATACAGTAAGACCAGTTCAAAACGGAAACCTGTGTAAACGAAAAAAATTCTTCAAAATGCATCGACTTTTCGATGTTTAAAAAAACCTGTTTAAAGAGGAAACCTGCCAAATCGGAAAAATATTCGGTGCCATGCGAGTCCGGTTTACACAGGTTTTACTGTATACAATAATCAAATTCCAAAAATATTTCCAAAAATCTCGATAGCATATACAACGTGAAGATAAATTTATCGACTTTATTCGACACTAATAAAGATTGTAAAGAGAATTTATCTGGGTCAGTTCCGTTTAAAATAGAAAAATATACCAAATCATTGTAAAAGATGCTGCTTCACATTCTTATCTGAAATCCATTATACTGATTCTATACTCGATATTTACATCTAAATATTCCGGAATTTTAAAAATATATGAGACTTTTTGTCACGTCAACAAAACTGTACTGACATTAACATCGGTGCCGAATAATATAAATATTTATGGTGAGATAATAATGTTATCATCATTGCTTTTTTTCAGTGTTTTGGTATTGCCAGCAGGCCCAGGGAGCACACTCCACAAAGATTCATTGTCTGTGTTTCTTGATTTTAGCTCCTTCTAGATCACTCAGGTCATCAATCATCTTCATTCTCTTCCTTTCTTCTTTCAACCGCCATTTCCTCTAAAGTAGGGCTTCTTCTCTGATTATATGACCAATTAACTTGGGGAGCATCTGTCAGTGCTGTATCTTCGTTATTAACTTATTTCTTTTTTATAGGTAAGCTATTTGCTTATTTTTGGTTGTTTTTATTTATTTCTTTTTTGTATTTTATTGACAGATGCTCCCCAACTTTAACTAATTATTACATTTGATTTTCAATTCTTTAATTTATATCTATATTGTTATTTATATAAATTATTATTGTATAATTTTGCTTGTGATCTTTATGTTCATTGTATCTAAGTGTTTTCTTTTTTTGTGGGGGAGATGGTTTTGCTCCCCGCATCAAGTAATGTATCCAGTATGCGTAATAAATAAATAAATAAATAAACTTAGCTAAATATTCTGTATTAATTCCTTGTTCTCATTCATCTTTCCAGAACTTCATTACTCACCTAGCTATTTATCCATTTTATCTTTTCTATCCTTATCCACATCCACATTTCTAATATATAAGAATGCTAAAAACTACATTTTAAATTGTTCTAGTTTATTTATCTTTCGACGAATACTCGAAGATATAATTACAAGAAATGAAATTAAAATATCCATTAAATTAGATACTGATTACTAACCTTTGTGAAGTTATATTTAAATTTAGAAGGCATGTCTGATTCTTCATTTATAAATTTCAAATATATTTAATGCATAACATTGCCCTTTCTAGTAAAATTCTTAAAATAGGAATTTCAAAGTGTAAGAATTTAACAGTAAAATGCAGTGGTAAATCGATAAGATAAACGGAGACTTCACAAGATAACAAATATTTGTCTGACAAACTATTAATAGTAAAATGTCCATTTTATATAATAAGACATGGAATCGATTCAGTTTATTATTAACAACACTGCTTTTTGCCCATACGTTAATATTATTTAACATATTCATTTGTATGTAAACAAAACAGTTGTAAACAATATTTTGGGCTTATCATACACTAGCAATCAAATACCTGTATTTTAAACATTAAATCAACTTTCGTTATCATGAATGTTTATAGTTTATAAAATTATAGCTACACATTGTTGAAGTAAATTTAATCCATTTTGATTACATTTCGTACATTTTAAATTTCTTTCCGTTATTTTCACAAACTTTATTTTATCGCTGAAGCAATTAAATTGGTTTGTAAAATTGTTTTTTTCCTATAATCTAATAATTTTTAAACGAATGCTCATAAATGTAAAAAATTCTCTAGTTATTTATTTCTACATTTCTACATTTTACTTTACTCTAACGATTTTAACGTTAATGGAATTTTAAATCGTAATTTTACAATATTTTATACATATTATCGTTACTCTCAAGTATTAAGTATAGATTATTCAAGCATTCCAAGGGAGATGCCTCCCTTTTGTACTTTATGTGAAAATTGGATCCTTATTTAGGGTTAAAAAACCAGGAAAACTTTACGATGCCATCTTATTGGGCAGAGACTCTGTGTGTTTAATGATTTCATCCATTCTACCACGGATAGGCAAATTTAAAGGAAAAAGTTCGGCAATTTAATTTTGAATGTGAAGAGACACTTCGAAGTTTTTCTTTACTTTTGTAATTTTTAAACACGTTAAATAACTAAATTTTGGTGTAAAATTTTAACGGTTTTATTTTATACAATCTGTTTTAATAAATTTTTGTAAATACCTTAGATAAATGCAGCATTCTATTAATTAGTCGAATTTTTTTTAATTTTAAATTTTGTATTCGAAACACTATTTGAACGATTCGAAGCAGTTACGAATTCGAAAATAATTTTGATTCGTTGAAAATTTTCCATAATGCGTGGTAATTTATTTATTTTATCCCTAATATCGACCGTTTTTCGAATTATGGCTGATGAATCTATTATTGAAACAAGTAATTATCAGTTAAGAAACGTGAAAACCATTAAATACAGACCAACTTCTGGTGGTATGTTGGTAAAGGTACAGAGGAGAAATTACAGATTTCGACTTCAAAAAGACAAATCCAAGTTTCTTGGAACAGCTAAAGTATTTATCTACGTAGACGATAAAATTGAAACATGTACTCTTTCTGACATACCGGGAACGTCTATATACCAAGGAGACTTGGAAGGAAAAAGCGAAACATTAATTATTGGTTATTTTTATGAAAATCAATTTATAGGAATTTTTCAGCATGCTTCTAACACGTATTACTTGGAGCCAAGAAAAGAATATTCCCTTGACGAGAATGATAAGCGTGAAATTATGTATAACGTCCAAGACATAGAGTTAAGACCATCTTACCCGGATGGGAGATTAATGTGTGAAGCAAGAAAAAATGTAGGACATCTTAAAATGAAATCTTTCCGAGAAGATTATCATGTCGATACTACAATACAGAATTATAATTTGTTCAATAACAACTTACGAATGAAGTGAGTTTATAATATTTTACTTAATTTTTACTTACAAACAGCTTAAGACATTATTATAACTGTATCAAATTTTATATTATTGTTATATCTTTAAATTAGAATATTCCTAGTATTTGAACAATAATATTGTTATATTAAATATACTTTATTACAGTATATAATAAATTCAATCTTCTCTTTTGTTCTCTGCATATATAAAAAAGCAATCAGACAAATTATTTTGTATCAGTTTCGAACAAATTTACCAAGAATACGCTTAAAATACGAACGAATATTTTTCATCACTTTCGGTGACTATCTTCAGACTATAACTTTAAGTTCAAGCTATTTGAATACAATTACTTTTCATAAATTTTTCTTGTTGCGAAAAAATTCATTTTATTACATTTCAATGAACAATTTTAAAAATTAATAAATTATGAACCTATTTCATTTTAAAATATGAAATAACAATATTAAACAACATAATGAAGATGAATACATTAATAATTTAATATAAAATAATTAATATTTATTCAAATGTAACGCTAACTTATTTAAAAAAAATGGAAAGTTATAAAATCCATTTGAAATGTTTGGAATGATTTTTATAAATATTCAGTAATTACATCTATTATCAAAATATTATGAAAATTAATGTTTTGTTGGATGTCCTCTGGCTCGAATAGCTGCTTGCAATCGACGAGGTAATGATTCAAAAAGTTTGCAAGTTTAGCATATTTACTTGAAGTGATTTCACTTTACACTCTTCGTATTGCATTGCTTGGTTGTTCCTTCTCCAATAGTATCTTCGTCGTTTACCAAATGTTCTCTATTGGAATCGGGTGAATTTTGAGGAGGCCTCTGTAGAAGAGGAGTTATCCTCTCCTTCAATCAGTTAAGCACACGCTTTTCCTTATGTCCAAGCAATTAAATTTATTTATCATCAGGATGTTCCTGTTCAAAATTTGAAATTCAAAAAGTCTCCATTATATCAATATACACATGCTGAGAAATCTACTGCTATGGAAAATTAGTTTAAGTAAAACAATATCACAAGAAGCAGTAATTTTGGGTCGATCAGAACGTTCTCTTCGGGATTTAATAAATTTCCCATCCTCTCTAATTTGTTTTAAGCATTTACTTTTTACAGGTTTTGATCTTAAAATATTAGCAATATCCTTTTGTGTATTTCCTTCTTTGCAAACTTTGTCAATTTAAACTTTTTCTGCATGAGTTAATTGCTTTCCAGATCCTATTTTCACATACAGAAATGATAGCAAATGCTTGTACGGTCAATTGCCAGACGTTCTAGAACAGTGTTTTTCAACCTGTGGGTCGCGTCCCCCTGGGGTCGCGAAGCCTTACATGGGGGGTCGCGGGTAAAAGAAAAAGACAAGTGTTTGTAGATCCTACACTACATTAAAAAAACTACAATTTCAGCGAAAAGGCTGTACCTGTTTATTTTACAGTAAATTAGTTATTTGATCGATATGTAGGTCTTAACCATGGGTGTAGGCAGGGAGGGCCCTGGGCCAGAAAATTATAGCCGAAAAAGCGTTGAGCTGATTTGCAAAAAGAAATCAAAAGTAGAAGCTGAAAATCTTTACCTTAAAAAAAAAAGAAAAAAGAAAAAAAAAAGTAAACGGCTCCCCGTGCCCAATGTTATAATTAAAGGAAGTTTCATACTGTATCTGTGTTAAGTTATTGTCGATTCTTATGAAATTTTCATTTTCATTTTAATCAACAACAATTTGTCTAAACAAAAAGAAAATTAAATACATAGTTTTTAAAATCACTGATATAGTTTTAATACGGCCCTGGGGGGTAGCCAGAATTTTTTAACTTGTAAAGGGGTCGCGTATTCAAGAAGGTTGAAAAACACTGTTCTAGAACGTTCTACCAATTCAAATATATCGCGTTGTGTGTAGTTTTATGCAAATTCCAAACTTTTGAAATAAGTTAGTGCTACAATTGAATAAATATTAAATATTTTATGTTAAATTATTGATGTATGAAGATATTTCAATAATCAGATGAAAGTATCGAGTAACTAAAATTTCACGATGTTCACAGAGTTGTTTAGCACTTCATACGCAATAATATTTAGTACAGTAATTGTCAGAACATGCAAACACATCTCCGTAAAAAATTCTCCCCAAACTTATAATTATGACACTTTTGGTGCTGCAAGCAACATATATTTTTATTTGCACAAGACATCCATCCTTTAAACAGTCCATAGAAGAAAGACCAACATGGTCTCTGTTCTCTGCTGTGAATGTAAAATTTCAGAGATAAACAGCATATTCAACTGTTGATCGTAATTGATCGCTGACTTCATGATCCTGCTTGCATGCAATATGAAAATAATTACACTGCACTGTATTATACATTTTCTTCTTTACGTCTTCCGCATGTCTCGAAACGTCACCATGTGAGGTTTGTTGCAATTGATTGTATTTAGACTACCAAATACCGCTCTAGACATCGTTAATAAAAGGTCCTTCAATAAGTTCATTAATGTTGAAACTCGTCGTGACTAAGTTTCATAAATTAGTTTATATGCATATTGAAAATAAAACAAATAAGGAGTTCTTTCATTTGTTACACTCTAGAATCATCACAACGTTTAAGAAAGAGAACAACAGAACATGAGTACACACGTTCCATAGAATAGATTTACATTTAAAATTAAATTGTTTGACATATATAGATACATATTTAATAACTAATATATAAAGAGTTACATTGAGTATAATAACACGAATAACTTATATAGAAACAAAAATTAAAATAAATAGTTGGACAACTGATCTAAAAGAAACATCTGATGCCGCTTACACAACCCTGTTTTCCTGTTTACTCGAATATTATTTCTGTGTACAATATTGCGTATCATCGAGTCGTATTATTTTCGAATCGGCCTCCAAAAAAATCAGAACCAAAGAAGACAATCATGTCATTTATTGCCTTTACACAGAAGTGTGATGGTGAATCCAATCTAAAATATGGTATCATAGCCACCTTAAATTAGAAAGTATCCTGTACGACTACACCATATAAATGTACTATACATAGAATACCTCTATAACCCCTCGACCCAAATTACTTTATTTTTATGAAAAATATTATATATAACTTATATATATAGGCTTCGTTTAAATTTGAATTTTACGAACTTTTTCGCGAAAAATAAACATACGCTTATAAAAATAAAGAATAAGCTAAAGACTGTTGAAATGAATATTTGTTTCGAGAATAAAGTACTTATATTTATACAGAAGTTCTTATAATTTAAAAATTCGTATCTCATTAAATAAATTTACATGTATGTAATAATATTAGTAATTGCAATAAATAAATTTCAAAATAAAACATAGATGAATATAATTTTGATTAGTACGTAGTAAATATAGAAAGTTCAGCTCGTGGCTATCTTCCTCCGCATTTAGCGTAAGCTCATTTGAATACATTACAACAGCCACGAAGGGTTGCACTTCGAACTACTAATCACTCTTAAATTAAGAACATCATTTCTTATTTTATTTATTTATTTACTTTTATCATTTTCAGACAAACAAAAATATGCTCGTTACAACTTGTGGCAGATCATACATATACCGAATATATGGACTTTAATCGTGCCAAAATCATAACAGAAATGCTTTTATATATTAAGATTGCCGATTACATATTCCGAAATACTGATTTCGACGAAGACGGTGACAAAGAAGATATCGCATTCAATGTTCAGAAAATTACCATATTCGAAACCAAAAATGATCCGGGTAATATTTTCGGAATCCAAACCAATGATTACAAAGCATTTCTACAAAGCTTAACGAAGTATCACCATCCATATTGCATGCTAATCTGCTTCACTCACAGAGATTTTTGGACAGCAATTCAATGTGCAGTTTCCAAAGTCAATAAGATCGGAGGAATCTGCCCTGGATCGAAACCGCTAGGAAAGAATAATAACGTTGGCTTCGTTACCAATATAGAAAACAAAGAAATTATTCCTCGATTTAGAATACCGTTAAGTTTAGTACACCAACTGGGACATGCATTTGGTTGCCGAGACGATCCTGAAGATAATCAATTTTGTAGTCCTGGTGATTTAAATCCCAGACACGGAAATTACATCATGCATCCGAATATATCGTATGGTGTTTTCAGGAATAATTGGCTATTTTCAACCTGCTGCAAAACCACTATAAAAAACTTCGTAAAGCAATCAAGTAAATTTTAAAAATATTTTACAGTTTAATATTATTTATGAAATGAATTAAAATCTATTTATATTTATCCACTATAAATTTAATTTTGTATTGTTATTTTTCTAACTAGGAATAAAAACGTGTCTGTTGAGAAGAGAGTTATCGAATTGCGGAAATGGAATCGTAGAAGAAGGAGAATCTTGCGATTGTGATTCTTCAACAGAAAATTGCACAGCTGTTCACAAATGTTGCAGAATTAATGAATATCCGTCTCAGTGTACACTGAGAAATGGCATGTTTTGTTCACCTAGCAAAGGACAATGCTGTGACGAAAATTGCGATATTATAGAATATAGCAAAAGGCAACCATGTTTCAGTAACATAGAATGCTTTAATGTTACTACGTTTTGCGATGGAATTTCTTCATTTTGTTCCGGTTTAATGCAACCAGACGGAACGCCTTGCAGACAAAATTCTCGAACCTGTCACAAGGGACAGTGCAAAAGCAACGTCTGTCTCGATCACGGTATGAAACCTTGCCAATGTAAGACTCGTCATTCGGAATGTCATATTTGTTGTATGAATGAAACGAATACATGTCGAAGCGCAAAAGAGTTACAACTTTTTCCATCTAAACACGAAGTTTATGTAAAAATTCCAGGAACTTCTTGTGATAATGGATACGGAATGTGTTTCAGGTAAGTTTTACTAAGTAGAGAAATGATATAATTTCGTAATTAATTGAAATATGTGATAGTTTTACGATAATTTTCATTTTTTAAATACGTTATGACCCTCGATGGGTCATAACGTATTTAAAAAATGTACCTAAGTATATATATATGGAAGCACAGAGTGTCTGAAAATGAGATGAATACAGTCGACCCCCCTATAAGATCATTGATTTTTCCGTTTTATCTGAATTACATGTTGTACGAGTCACTTAGATTTTACAAATACGTGTGCCGGACTGTGAATGGCTCACATATTTGTAAAATCTAAGTGACTCGTACAACATGTAATTCAGATAAAACGGAAAAATCAATGATCTTATAGGGGGGTCGACTGTAGTCACTTTAGTCGCATACAATAAATTAGTTAAATGAGGATTAATGATTGCATCCATTCTTAATGGCTTTCGGTATTCTTAAAATAATTTTTAAATATGTATTAGTTAAATAATGTTTATGTCACATTGAACTTTAACGAGAAAGTATACTTATTCGCACTTCAATGGTGACGTTGTAGATTATCTATATTTTATAAATTACATTATACAAAGAAATTTTGAATAAAATTGAATCATATTAATGAACTGTGTAAATTTTTCTACTATATTAAAAACTTCACAAATACACTGCAATGTTCAGGAACCATAAAACTCTTCGCGGAAAACAAATAGTTCGGGAGTTAATTTTCCAGCCTCAACTCCACAAATATAACTTACATACAATTAAAAAATCAGGTTGCGTAACTTTCCCGGTTGTTGTGAGTTTTTATTTTAAAAAATAACTTTTATATGCATAAGCAAAATAAATAAAATTATGTTGCGTCGTCTGTTATGAGATTTTGGTATAAAAAATTTTCATATTTTTAATTACTATAAAATTACAAAAACTTTTAAATTTTTAGGATAGGGATGAGATTTGTTTAAAAAGTGCGAATATTAATAACGAAAGAATTCTTCATAAAGTCCTACCTACCCCTTTCGAGTTATATTACATCACTACCTCTCTCTCTCCCCACCCTCTCGACCTTTCACCACCAAAATTTAAGACGAACAATGCCTCTTATACACAAGCTGCAGTGCCAAATTTCGTTACTTAATATTCACTACATTCTGAGATATTAAACAAAATAGACAGCAACACATACATACATATATACAGAATATTATTGTCAGTGTTTTTTACTTTCTCGAGTTCAGGAGGTGTTAAAATGTGAAGATTTGTAAAAAAAAACTCGAAGGTTCAAATTTGGCACGATTTTAAAACAAAATCGCAAGCAGGACCAAAATAAGACTTATCAGTTAAATAGGTTTAATAAATTGTCACATTGTACAGTACATGAACACAGTGGTAGTAGTATTGATAAATTTTCAATTTTGTTCATTGCTCCTTCCGTTCTTGAGCTACTGGATACCCACCTTTTGTCCTACAAAAACAGTATATAAGCTATGTAGCAATATTATTGTGTTAATAAGCCTTCATTACACGCATTGTAATTTTACTTCGATTTAACCTGTATAAAGATATTTAATTAAATTTTTATAACAAAATGTATTTTTTATTGTATCAGATCCTAAACAACAAATCGGTTTTCCACGATTTTTATATCAAAAATCTGTAAAAATTTAGCCATTGAAGAATTAAAATTGTAAAATAGAATCATTCAGTGCAAAAGTAGAACTATTAGTTTGGGGATGCCTCCCTATTGTGGGCCAAGGGAAGACATATTTCTAGATGCGCCTCCGTATATCTATCAATTTAAATCAGTTGTTTGATTACAATTGATAAATTTTCGAAAACTTTTTTATTCTTATCATGACGATTTTAAGCTAAGTATTTTGTAGCGTAAAAATGTTACTTATCACGTATATTACTTTTCAGAAATGGATCTTGTATAAGTAAAACTATATGGAAGATGTATAGCTTTTGGAATTACTTTACACCTCTACCGTTCTTACTAATTATTGTTATTGGCATAAGTTGTTTCCAAAGTCATCAACACGAAAGACCGAGTATAGAGATATTAATGAAAAAGTATCCTTTAAGAAAGAAGGAAGGAAAACCTGAAATGAAACGGAAAGTAAGGAAACCTAAACGGAAAATTACGAAAAAGCATCGTTTAAGAGAGAAGCAAGAAAATCCCGAAATGAAACTAAAAGTAAAAAAGAAACCCAAAAGGAAAATAAATAAGATAAAGAATAATGTCTTAAAACCTAAAGAATGATGTCCATTTCTTGAACTTTACAACATTTGAGTAATATACGACAGCATAAAGAGGTATTGAACACTTGAATTAAATACCCTTTCACTTTTATATGTAATTGTATTCTATAATGTTTGAGTGATAAAAATAATAAAAGAAACTTGAATTTTCTTTATATTCAGCTGTGAGTTTCTTGAAATCTCGAAAAATTACATAATATTATATTTAAATTTATATTTATAAAATAAGTAAACGTTCAACAATATTTCGTGTAAATAATAAATATAAAATAAACAAAAAATAATTAAACTGACATCATATAATTGAACTTCTATAATAGGCAACTATTATTACTGTATTTACATACCAAACGTCGTAAAGATGTTTGCATAAATTACAAAATTACAGCATTTTAAACAAAGTAAGAGTTGAAAAAAGTATGGAATCATTAAAAATATTCATTTCAAAAGTATGGAATAATGATGATTGATATTTTGCAGGGCCCTCTTTTCTTCTAGTTACATCCTTTATTCCTTTGCGACATTGTAGAAATCAGTTTTTTTACACAGTTCTGGATCAACCTGTGACAGTGATTCTTTGACTGTCTTCTTGAATTCCTCTATTGTTGTAGTTCTTTCTTAAAGATTATTTTGTTCAGTACATTCCAAACTTTTTCAATCGGAGATATATCTGGACTGTTGGCAGGCCATTCTAAATACTGTACGTTATGTTCTTGAAATCATTGTTTAATTTGTCTAGCCCTATCATGATTGATTGTCATCCTAGTAGATGAAATCCTCATTACCAAATTGATCTTCTAATATTTTAACTACCAAAGATTCTAATAACTCCAAATAACCATTAGTCTTCAATGTACTAACAGGGGTTACTATTCCATCAACCTTTCTACAGGTTATATGTCCTCACATCATTACACTTTTAGGAAATTTTGCTAACAAATTTAATCAGTCAGAATAGAATTTTTCATCTTATCTTTAATATACTGATTACCATAGACAATACATAATTTTTTATTCATCTGTGAACATGACTTGTTCTCAGTCACTAACACTCCAGTCTTTATGAATTTTAGCCTGTTTCAAATTTTTTTTTGTCATATAGGGATTTGTTTTGCATTTTCTTGATAGTAAAATTTTTCTGCTATGCTTCTCCTTACTGTGATGTCTGATAATTGTCTCNTATATATGTTGTTCACCTGAAATTAGTAGTGATTTGCTCAATTTGCTTCTGTACATCATACTTTTCCTGTTAGCAATAGAATCCGTGCCAATCATCTAACTCCTTTCGGAATAAAATTTGAACTGAAATAACGTGACTTTCAATCCGAACTGGAAGTTCATGCATCAGGGCCTTCGACTTCTTTCCATTTCTAGTCTCGACTTTCATCTATCTAACATGGTTTTCGAGATTAAGGAAGAACAGAGAGACAGCAGACGTATGACAGTCTTGGAGTCTATAAGTCTATACAGGTCTGTAACAGTTGAATTTTATTCAAACTGGTTTAAATCCATTACTTATTTTCATTAAATCCATTACTGGGTTAAATACATTCCTATTTAACTCCATACTCTGCTAGGCTTGTGTAACATCCCTTTAATGTTCATGTATAAGTGAGATCGTCATCTTGTTTCTGTTCCTTATAAGATGTACTATCACCAGCAGTGAATAATACAGGAATTTTGTAAACTTCATATCCGCTAAAATAATACAAAGTAACTCAAGTTCCATTTCCTTTGGTGTAGAAAAAAGTAAGCATTACGGACCAGAGCCGAAATGGCTGCATTTTTACAAGAGGTAGGTTTAAAAAATTTTATGGAATAAGTAAAGATTCTCTACTAAATCTGTAGACTACGTCTACAAAACTAACTTTGATTATAAATTTGAAATAGAAAGTGTGAAAACGACACGGAATAGTTACTATGTTATCCTCTAGCGATAATTTTATGGAAGGTTAGATGGAGTTAAAGGCTGTAAAGAGAGTAGTGAATCGCGTCTGCACTAATTGACTGTACTATGAAATATGTAAAAAGCTACATTAATGTTGCGAAATTTATCAAGAAACTTTGTTTTATTTTTTTCGAATACAATCGATAAAGTCCTTGTGGACTATAGATTACTACCCAAAACATAACAATAATAATAGCCCTAGATAAGACACTGCAACAATTACAAATATCATTACATAAGTTTGTAAATAAAGATAAAGACACAGTCGTTCCAAAAATTCTTTTGAAAACCACCATTTTATTACGTGTTATAGAATAAAACTTTAGACGACCAGACTTTTCTTTATATGCTACTCGACCGTCCAGTTAAAACATTCCTTAAAAACACCAAAAAATTATCCAAGTTTGGAAAATTGATTATTTATATTCAATTTTATATACATTAGAACATTTCAATAGATTTGTCTCAAGCATTCACGATAATTAAATCATCATCAGACAAACAAACGAAATGGAATAAGAACGCAACAATGTTTTCATTTAAATGCCAGGGATTTTTACACAGTGGACGATTAATTTTAAAATTAATGATATCACATAAATTTTAAATAATTAAACATAAAATATCGTATAAAAACCGCATTAAATAAATATATTCGGAACAAACAAATAAATTTATAAGCACCGAATGCCTATTGAAACCAAACGAAATTAAATATATAAGATAATAAATATGTATGTAATGTACACAATGAGAATAGCTATTTTTAATCTAACTGTGCTAAAAACGTAAACAACTATTTAAGCGTTGTAACAAAACCTGTCCAATGTTCAGAAGTGGCATGGACATAAAATTATTGCTACGCACGTTGTGTATTGTCTCTCAAATAAAAGTTAACTTGGAGTCTATAAGTCTATACAGGTCTGTAACAGTTGAATTTTATTCAAACTGGTTTAAATCCATTACTTATTTTCATTAAATCCATTACTGGGTTAAATACATTCCTATTTAACTCCATACTCTGCTAGGCTTGTGTAACATCCCTTTAATGTTCATGTATAAGTGAGATCGTCATCTTGTTTCTGTTCCTTATAAGATGTACTATCACCAGCAGTGAATAATACAGGAATTTTGTAAACTTCATATCCGCTAAAATAATACAAAGTAACTCAAGTTCCATTTCCTTTGGTGTAGAAAAAAGTAAGCATTACGGACCAGAGCCGAAATGGCTGCATTTTTACAAGAGGTAGGTTTAAAAAATTTTATGGAATAAGTAAAGATTCTCTACTAAATCTGTAGACTACGTCTACAAAACTAACTTTGATTATAAATTTGAAATAGAAAGTGTGAAAACGACACGGAATAGTTACTATGTTATCCTCTAGCGATAATTTTATGGAAGGTTAGATGGAGTTAAAGGCTGTAAAGAGAGTAGTGAATCGCGTCTGCACTAATTGACTGTACTATGAAATATGTAAAAAGCTACATTAATGTTGCGAAATTTATCAAGAAACTTTGTTTTATTTTTTTCGAATACAATCGATAAAGTCCTTGTGGACTATAGATTACTACCCAAAACATAACAATAATAATAGCCCTAGATAAGACACTGCAACAATTACAAATATCATTACGTAAAACTTATAATTTTGTATGGAACGTTAGAACATTAAAACTTAAATATTTTAATAGAATATTGGAACATTAGATATGTGAACATAAAATAACAATGTTTTAACATAAAAGTAACATATAAGTTCTAAAATAACCTTAAATTCTAACAAAGGTAAAATAAAATAAAATATTAAAATATAGAACTAGAATCGTAAATTTTAAATATAACGAGCAATTACTCATTGTGACGATGTCACAATGCCGGCTGCAATTTTAAATGTTTTTAATTTAAAATATATGCTCTGCGCCTTAAATTAGCAGTGACGTGCCCCTGTACATCATACTTTTCCTTTAGCAATAGAGTCGTGCCTGTCATCTATCTAACACATTTGAGGGGAAAATTTTTGAATTGAAATAACATGACTTCCGGTTTGCAACAGAAGTTCATCTTTCATCTATCTAACTCCATTCGCTAGATTAAGGAAAGACATGAACTAAGGCACAAAGTGGAAATTTATAAATCTATAATTTTTTGAAATTATAGCTCAAAAATATATGTTAGCAAATGTAACTATGAGTTTCTATACAGTTTACTTTTTACAATGAACTTTCATGCTGATTCCATGCTGTATACATGAGCATTCTAGGTAAACTGTTCTCATCTCTTTCATTCAGTACATTTATCCTCCAATCTATTCTTATATATTTCAAATTTTTCACTGTTCAGCGCCAATGTTAGGGATTTTAAAGTCTTAATTATCACCGTCTTATTCCATTTTACCGTCATTTTTTGCAATCTAGGATAGTACTTTATTGTAGAGGCTTTTTTACGCTATACTGATGTTTTTTAAGTTTAACTACCAAGTCTCTTTTGATGACTCCAATATAATTCATTTTTATTCCTAATTGATTGATTTCATAGGATATTCTGTAAACACACCTGCTTTCTCCTCTTTCGTTAACTTATCTTTGTCTTTTTAATTTTCTGCAAATATTTGGCGCTCTTTTGAGAATTAGTTTAGAACTTTTATGGTCTGCCATTTCTTTCATAATGTTCTTCATGATTTTGTTAAACGTGAACTTCGCAACTATATTAAGTTTGCTGTTTTCAGTTTTTGGTCTGGTTCAGTAGGCGCTGAGTGATCGAACGCTTTCGATACGCCATTTAGAAAAAACCATAAAAAGCTGTAACTAGCATGAATTTGAGCTATTATTATTCTGAAAAACATTTCGAATAAGATTCATTCGTTTCCATGCAATTTTATTGTTATAAGCATAAAATTAAACCATAAAATTGAAATAGTATCGTTGGAAACTCTGGTGACCTTTGACCTATCGACCCGGAAATTTTGCCGACACTTCACTGATAACGAGAAAGGTTTAAGTTTACAGTTTGAGCTTTCTAGACTTAGTAGTTGTTCCTGTACGAACTCCAGCAGTGCTGTATTTTCGTTTATAAGAAGAAAATACAGCTGTTTTTGCGATGTTTGCACTTTTCAATTGTTTACATTTCGGCAAGAACTCCTTTATAGAAACTGTTGAAATTTTGCACACTACCCAGGAAAACAATTATCTTTTGAAATA